TGCTGGGTATGACCAAGCCAGCACGTCAAGCACCGTGTGCTCTTGGCTGCCACTGGTCTCTGCACTGCCATTTTACAAGGTTATTATACACCAGGCTGATGGATTTTGTTCTTGCCCACTCATTTTAATCACCAGTCACTTAACCAGCACACCTACAGTGCAGCATCAGTAGGACCATTCCTTCCCCGTAGCCTCCTCCTCGGCACCTGCAAGACAACGCACAAGTTCTGCTCAAGGCCGGTGCTTGGTCGGGGGGATGCCGGCTGTGTTCCCGGCGCTGCCACCTCCGAGCGACGCCGAGCGTGTCACTTGGTGACCCTGAGGCAGGGCCAGCTCTCTGAAACACAGCAGATTTCCCACAGCGGAGCCAGGGCCCTGCCTGTGTTTTAGGAGTTTCAAAGCTGTTCATCATAAAGCTGCCTAATGAGTGTTCAGAAACTAATCAAAACAGTGAGATTTTTTCTCAGGACACTAATAACTACAAGCAAGAAGCCAACCAGCTTGCTAGTTTAGCAGCTGAAGACAGGGCCTTCAGTCTGGCGCTTTGATGAAGCCAAGCACTTTGCACTTTTACTATTATGCATTGCAAATTAAAAGCAGCAGCAAGAGCTCATGGCTCTGCATCAGGCTGCAGAGCGAGCTCCAGTGAGGCTGATCTCTAGATACCAAACCCAGTCCTCCGGGACCTGCAGCGCAGCCCTGTCATCTCCATTAAGCTAAAGGGAACCAGGCCATCAGCCTCCCACAGACCCCTCTGGTTATGAGCCACATTTTAAAAAAGGAGAAAGAGACAGTATCAAAAAGAGCTGTAAACAGGGTGTGGAGTTCCTGCTGTTACTCACCCTGTGCCGATCTGTTCAGAAACAAACAAAAGAGCATTTTCAGTTAAACACAGCAACTCCCTAAAGTGAATTGTTGTCATAGGTCAGAATCATTAAAAGGATTCAATTCAGAGGACAGCAAAAACTTTCTGCTATGTATGGGGGCTCTCTTAAGACAAGCTTTTCCTATTTCCTGTGTTGTGCATTTCTTACTACATTCAATCATGCGTTTCCATCCGCCTGATAGCTGGCATGACCCCTTACTGAATAAAAACAACCATTTTAATGGGTTTAATTACACAGATGTGTAATGTACATCAGCTCCGACATAAAATGGGTGAACATCCAGAAACCACCAGATTGCCAATTCACTAGCATCAGTTACATGATACAGTGCTAGAAACACACCACGGGTTGTGTGGAAACAACTGACCTATTTGAAAGGAGATCTATTGACCGAGAAAAGTCAGATCCTGCCCTGCTCGTCGTATTTGAATAAAACAAATAGGTGAGGCCCAGAGAAGGAAAAAATTCAGTGAAACAACCTTGTTGGTGCAGCACAGTGCTGACTTCCAGACTTCAGGTAAGTCAAGATTTAAAAAGAAAAAACTGTTCTCATTTTAGAATTTCAATTTGGGGCAAAATAAATGTTAAAAATGCAAAAGTAGGCTTAAACAAAAATGTTCTCCCAATAAAAGCAGCACTTCTGAAAGACTTATGCCTTCATTTTTTAAAAACCTGAAAGCAAACAGTTTCCCTATAGTGCTTCCTCTTGCCACACGGCATTTTTTAAACGTAGAGAATTACAAAGAAACCAGCCAGAGAAACAGAAATGAAACCAAGTTTGTCTCTACTACCCAAACTGAATGAACACAAGTAGTGAGGAGTGATTCTGTGACTACATGCCCCATACTTTTTTCCCCTTATTCTCCTTCCATTGATTCTCTTTCTTGCTGCCCATTAAAAAACTGTTTCCAATAGGGCTCTGCTGTCCTACGTGGGCTTCGGTACCACCATTGTGGGCAAGAACAACATTGTATTCCCTCACTCTGGCAGCAAGTGTGGGAAAAGGAGGCCGTAACACCAGTACCAATTCTTTCAGCAACACATGACAAACCAGATTTTTTGCATACCACAGCAAAGTAGCCTCCAACCTGACACACAACACCACTTCAGGGCTGGCATTTTTGGAACTCTAACAGAGTCTGAATTTTTCAAGTCAAAAAAAAAAAAAAAAAAAAAAAAAAAAAGAGGCTATTTAACCATTGCTGAAGAGCTTGTGAATAGATTCCTCTTTCCTTTCAGGAGGGGGCAGCTGGTGTCCCGCAGCAGCGCTCCGGCCTTTGCCCATGTTCACAATGCCTGTCCCTTCACAAGGAAATGGTGCAGCAGTTGGTGCCGCACCGCAGTTAACACTAGGAGCTCCAGCGGGAGCGTTGGGAACGGCACCGTAAGCCAGGACGCCTTCTCCTCAGCTCTCGGTCCTGCAGGGATTGCTGTGTGTGGCACAGCATTAAGGATTCAAGTGTGGTATCCATGATCAGGCAATGACCACACGACTCCATGTCAAAAGCCACAGGTGACTGGACACACAGAAGGAAAACAGAAAAGCTCAGATCAGCACTGATATTAAATGTCACGGTCAAGGTGGGCGCCTGACTTCCCAGTAGACCAACTCTGGTGTCCTCAAACCTCCATTCAAATCCCTGAGCTGTGCTGTAACATGGGATAAGATGTGTGGTGAAATGGGACACATCGGGGAGTCCAACTGCCCTACGTGTGAACAGGGCTCCTGCTCATAGAGCAAAACCCCACAAAGTCCAACTCAAAGAGTGCTCGCCTCTCTGCTCTTCCCTCAAACAAAATCCTTCCCAGCACCTATGTGCCATGAGGTAACCCGTTGTACACAACCCCTGCAGGCTAGGACACACTTGGGCCTCAGCTGAACCTAGAACCTGCTATATGGGACAAGGCCTTTTATCCCTGGCACCTGCCAGGAACATACATGAACTCTGAAGATGTGGGCACTATAATCAGGCTTAGATACAGCCTTCTGCTTGAGCACTGCCTCCTTTGCTTCTTCATATAAAGAAAGGAACAAGAGAATTTTACTTCCCTTTTCTGGGGTAGGAAAGAGGACGAAAAGCAGTTCCATATCAATTGAGAAACAGCACGTCATTCAAGCAAATGCTCAGACTGAAACGGGAAAAAAGACCAGAGGGGTCAGGCAAACGTTATTTAGTCTAAACCACCCCGAAGTCAATGGAGTCCCAGCAGTTCGAGCCACAGTGCTCAGCCCTGCATCGCAAAGCTCCCTACAACAGGGGAGAGCAGAGGCTGCCGCCAGCCAGGCCAGCCCCTCTCTGCTCCTCGCGCTCCGGCCAGCACGAGGAACTCCAGCTCCACACGTGGGTTGTGTTCACGGCTAAGAGAAGCTATCCCTTGGGCACAGGCTGCCAGAGGCTGGAAAATCCAGCTCTGGAGTCAGGAATCCTGCATGCGGTGTCGCTTCTGCACTGCGGAACTTCACAGATGTCTCCTAACCCAGGGCTCCCGTTTTCCTAAACCAGTCTTCTCTCCCTTCTTAGAAAGGTTGAATTCTCCTGTGCCAAGAGTGCTGCCAAATACTCTCCACAATCTACCTCCACTTCAAAGGGCGACCTGTACACCAAGGTTGATATGACTTAGGAATAAAGTACTTTTCCAGAAGCTGGCTCATAACATAACTCATGGCATTTTCATCTCTTCTCCAGAGTGAACTCCTAACAATCAGCACAATATTCTCTGCTTTTGCAGGGCTTGTCAGATCAGGGTACACTAGAAATCAAGACACTGTTATTATCTTTGTCCTGCTCAGCAGGAGACAGACACTGAAATCAGCAGGAGGAGATTTCCATGCAACATTTGCCCTCTGAAGGAGGCATTTCTCACCCTGCCTGTGCTCTCCAGTGTGTGACTCCCAGAGCGCTCCATGGGTCAGAAGCCCCTTCCTGGTCTGCCAGGCTTCTCCCACTGCATCTCATGGGTCAGGCACTGCCTCCCCCTCACCTTCAAAGAGGAGCAGAGGGAGACCCCTAAGGCCACCGAACTGCCCTTGAAGCAGCCACTGTCAAGGTGGGAACCCAAGAGAGGAACCAAACACACTATGGTCCCACATCCCAGCATCTTACTCCTTTTGCTGAGAGGAGCCAGACCAGAGTTTAGAGAACTGGAAGTCAGAAAACAAGCAAACGTTTGTTCTCAGCAAGCGATGCGAGGGGGAGTTACTGCTAGTTCCTTCCAGCCTCCATGGGACTTACCGTGTCTGAATGTTCCTTTTTGTTGTTCTCCCTGCGCTTGCATTCAGCCAGCACAATGGAGCTCTCTGTGAGGGCACTGCAGCGCGCGGTGCTCCACACCACGGTAGCTGCAGCAAACAGCCCTCCTCGGCCAGGGCCCGGGAGGCCTCAGCTCGGAGCTGGCGGAGAGGCTGCCGCAGCGCTCGCCCAATGCCGGGAGGAAGCCCGGCACGCGCTGAGCGCCCAGCAAGCGGCAGGTCCAGCGCAGCACGGAGCGGCGGGCCTCGAGAGGAGCACGCAGGCGAGCTCAACAGCAGATTGGCACCTTTTAACAGGCATCGGATCCGTCAGCGCCACTGAAATATGCAACCCTGAAAGTTTTCCATGTCATAGGAATGTGACAGGGCTTGCAAAAATATTCAAGCCTGAGACGCTTAACACACTCGCAGCGGCTCAGGTATTGCTG